GGCCCTGGTCGCCATGCTTTGCTCCTGAATCTGATGGCCTGATGCCAACGAAAAGAAGCAAGGTCGCATCCGGTGTTGGCAACACTTGCGTACACCAAGCACATGCAAATGTTGGAGATCTATGCAATATTCCGCACAGGGCCAAGTGATGCGCAGTTAGCAGGCCGAGTGAGGCTCATCGGGATAGAGAGACGGAGGGAGGGTCGATTGAAAGAGCGGATGTGGCGGCAACATTCAATGCTTGACATGCATCTAGATCAATCATTACAATGCCAGAGCGGGTGCAAGAGGGCTGCTGGGCTTGCTGGTTAGCAGGTCACTTACACATTGACTCGCACATCGATCATCGATGGCAGCTGCGAGGGTGTACCTGCCCTCTGGATTGTTTGATCACCGTAAAGTTTAATCATAATCCTTGACTGACACCGACGCACTGATGGGGTGGCCGTGGAGCCGGGGGGAAGGGAAGAGGGGGGAAGCTCAGTGCTACCGTGCTACCGTGTTACCGTGCTACCGTGTTAGTAGCCTCTGGCTGTAGGCCAGCTGCCAGCTGCCAACTGCTAATTATTTAGCTCTTGCCAGTTGGCAGCTCAATAGCCAATTACGACCAACCTTTTTCACGGAAGGAGCAACATTTTTTTTTCTCGGTCCAGCGCTGAATAATCGCTCCAACATCCAAATGTCAAATAGTCTCGTCTTTCTACCACCCAGCGTGCCCATGACCCAATCGCTGTGTGATATTAATTTTCAGATCCGGAACCCGCTTAACATTGTACCTCATATGCAGTGGTACCACTGATAAAGGAGTGAAGACATGGCCATTCCTTGTACTCTGTTGTACGTCGTTGCACTCGTAATACGCAGTTTACAAATCTCTGTCAGGAATTTGCAGGGCTACGGGCCAACGGGAGAGGCTTGAACGAATCGTCCATCAAACTAGTGTGCAAGCCCCAGCCCCCGCAGCTAGCAAGGCCAGCTAACAGTCTCTCATTACGGAGCAACCAAGTCAGGGATCTTATTAGTGGCATATCCTGTGGCAAATTGTAGTAGTGTTGTGGTCCGGGAGGTGGACAACTACGTCAATTCTCCGAGCAATGGATTGCTACCTCAGCTCGGTCCATCAGATAACTGCCGTCTTGACAAGAAGGACCACGCCACTCTCTGGCACGTACGGAGTACATACGATACGTACAATATGGAGCGAGTGGCTACCGAAGGCCGGCAAATATGTATCGACAGGCCGCTCAAAAACACAAGGCAAACACCATCTCATCTCAAATTCAAGTAGCCTGCCTATTGCCGGCGATACTGAAGGAAAGGCCGTCGACTAGAGTCGAGGGCAGCGAGCAGTTGCTCATTCATTCTTGTGGGACTCCCAACTAGCCTGAGTGTCCCATCATCTTGTTGGCTTGTTAAAATACGACCAGCAACGTCTGCCTGTTCGTCTATCCATTTTAGCGCAACCGCTGGTCGCACTGCCAGTTTCCGGGTAAATCCGCCATGTATCCACCCCAGTCCAGTGGCTGTTCATCTGGCGGAGTCTGGAGAACCAACCGTCTGATCGGTCTGCCAGCCAGCAGCATCGGTCTACATCGAGAAATTAGAGTACCTACCTAGTAGGTAGTTACTACATATATATTCAAGCGGAGATGAAGCTCTCAGAAGATCCCTGGGTAATGGCTATCATCATTCTATAAGCCACCAGTTAATTCCAATGTGAGCAAGAGAGAGCGTATGCTTAAAATTCTGCCCTGCCATCGCTTTCAGGAATCTTACTAACGATTTGATGGGGGAGTATTTGGAAATGATCAAAAGCGGCCGAGGCGGGTCAACCTGACCCACTGCGTACGGCCCAAAAAGACGGTTCATCCCTGATCTCTCGAGACAATACGGAGTAATAGTGAGCGCAACGGTTGATGGTTGGCAGGCAACGCAGGGACCAGTCGACCACCTCCCTACGATTTGTCCTCGTTGCCAAACGCGACAGGTGATTAACTCCGTTCTGATTCCTGAGCTGTGACGGGCCAACAATGTTTTCGCCTGCCAAGTGTAATATTGCGTTAATTATCACATCCGGGTACAGACCGTATCACAGCCGAATCAGACGAATCCACAACAACCTAGTGACGTCTCAAGCAATTCAGAACAAAAACAAGGGCAAACGCAGGGCAGGACACTCCGTTCCACACCTTTCTCTGCTCCAAATCGTCTCCTTCTATGATTGCGCTTGGCCAATCAAGAGGGGATTAGTAGAAGAAGCAAATTTCTCCGTACTGTACTCCGTTACCTGCTCGCTCAGGGTCGATGGCACGATGCATTCCGATGTCGCCTCGTCCTGCTCCCTGGGTGTGACTCTGGAATCAACTTGCACGGAACTTCATAGATGTCAGCACCGACATTGCTAGCATTCCCGTTACTGCACCACCTTCATCATATATTCAAAGCGCGCAATTTGCGTCTCGAGTCTGACTTCGCGCGAGCTTCAGGCCAATGCCTGTGAAACAAAAGGTTACAGTCAGTCACGGGCTTCATTCACCTACTAGGGACTTAACCAACGGCAGTTGTTCCCGCCCCGCCCAATTGAGAGCGGTGTGAGCACGACTTGAAGTCTCTGAGAAAAATGTGAGACTTGGTTCCTTAATCGCACACCAAAGGGCTATGAATCAAGAACAAAAAAGGACAACGATGGCTGAGTTTTCAGCCCACTGCTCTCTCAGCAGGTTGAATTAACCCAGTGCTACGGTTCAACCATGACTACGGAGTGATGGAGCAAACATTGTCTCGACAATGGAGTTACAGAGGCCAAACTGGGGCAGTTTGCGTGTCGTTGCAGGTTTGCAATATTCATGGTCCCCTAGCAGCTTCTCAGCCTAGGTGTGTTGAAAATTTTGGTGCGCTAGCACTCTGTAGCTTGACGAAGGAACATTGAAACGAAACAATTTGGCAAGCTATACTTCAGGTGGGTACCGCGCTGGATTTGCGCTGGAACATGTCACGCCTTACTTCATAAGGCTCGTGATCATCTTTTTCGTGGTACACGGTGAAGATCGTTAGGACACTTGGTGCCTTGAGATAGACACGCCAAGGCGCCTATTGCCGAAAACTAGTACATACATAGCTTCGGAGTCTTGCCATCCGGGGGTTCCCTATGTTTTATTTGCTTTTTTCAATAGGTGGGACAATCAATGGCCCCGACTAGCCATCATCAGATGTTAGCAAATGAAAAGAAACGAGCCGGTGGCTTGAGCGGGCACGGAAAACAACTCTCCGAGAGGTATTTGTGTACGTATGTGCGCGCATACCGAGAGACTTCCGCAACTTTAGCAAGATCGAGGTCGTCGTTCGATCTTTTAGTGCCGTCAACAATCGAGGCATTCTTGTGCATCCTAGTCAGTGGCTGTCATGAGGTTCTTCCCTATTTCTCGGTCGGCGTATCAAGTCAAGCGGAAGCAGACGATGGAACCCTGCGTTTCCGTTTATCTTGCAAGATATGGCTGACGGCAGTGTTGACCGCCGACAGCTCGTCTGATTTGTTATTTCAAGCTTGGTCAGCCTGCCCAGTTCAAGCCTAAGGCCGTTCCCATTCACACACTGGTCGGGGATACTAGTTAGTAGTTATGTTCCCGAACTATCATGAACTAGGCAAGGCGAGACAGTTGCCGTCCATTTCGGCGAGGTCTCGCCTGAAGCGTGCCAGACACCGAGCACCTGAGATAGCCAAGGCTCCAAAACATCAAGGGTAGAGCCTGATGTAGAGGCGTGGCATCTCATCTGAGATGGCAAACGCAACTTGCCAAGTGCCCGCTGACGTATCTGCATCATTTGAGGATGTTGGTTCTGTCAAGGCGTCTTGCTAATGTCGTGTATAAGAGCGGCGCTTAATAATGTCATGGCCAGGTGGGACCAGACTTCATTTGACCGTCGATTGGTCACTATTCTACTCGGTATCAGTGCGCAAAAACTAAGCATCTTGTTTCTTTTTCTCATCAACTACCGGGCGTCATTGAACAGGCTTATAAGGAGGCACAAGTGCAGAATAGTTGGTGGAATAATGGTAGCAATACTGTCTTGACAAAAATGAAAAGGGAAAGGGGAAAAGAAAGACGCGCAAAAAAATGAAAATAAAAATAAAAATGAAAATAAAATAAAATAAAAGGGGTCATGCACGAGGACTCTACATCATGCGAATGCCAAATGCCGCGGAAACGCCGACACAGTTCGAGTCGGTTTTCGGGTGTTTGCCTGGGACTCTGGGAGTTGTCATTTGGAACGTATTCGTTTCTGTACACGCTATTGATGACGCCTTTTCTGTATTGCCATACGAAAATGTTGGCTGTCCTCGGTTTTCGTGGTAACGATTTGCGCTTGCTAATACTCTGCCACCATCTGTCAGCTTAGACGTCGAGTCAATATTGATGAATCGATGGATGTAGCAACACGGCCAGAAATATCATGATGTACTTCGTTCCCTGTTGACGAGTTTTTGCTCTAGGACACGGCCCAATACAGCTGGGTGCAAAGTTCGACCAACTCGGACACATAAACGAAATACATGCTGAAGCGGGCTACAGTCATTTTGGGTCATGCTGAATGTATATTAGGAGAGAGAAGCATTTCAATTGACAAGGGACCTGTGTGTATGACACCAAACTCTCGCGTACTCGAACTTTCTTTCGTTTGTGCGGCTATCGATGGAACACACCTTACTATGGAACAGCAGATGTGAATGACCAGGACAATGACAAGATGGACTGTATGTCTAGATGTATGCTGGCCGAGATTGTGGCATACTTTTGGTTCTGGTCTGGCTGCAGTTGCAACATTGAATGCTCTTGCCGTACGTGTAAGTGACTGTAACCAGGGGTACTGTGCCAAAACAACGGCATCAAGGACTTCCCAACAACACCAACCCGTGACGGGGTCGATCAGCATCATTATTATTCCTTCATGCCAATTTCCTTCGAGACCGATCCTATCTTCAGACACATAGAGTTACGAGAATGTGGTGGGCCGAGCGGCCTGAGCAGGGCTCACTTCGTGCCATTATTCAGGCACACAGTCGAAAATGCATCCTTGTCAGAGGCATTGCTTGGACTGGGATTCATCTTCGCATCTTGAATGTTCGGTTCCAGCCAGGAGATGAACAGCTAGCCAACGCGCGAAGCATGTGGCAGACTTCTCCGGGCGAGATCGCGGTGGCGGAATATCTAAAGTCTTCTTTCCGGATCGCGCAAAATACTGGGATTCAGAAGGTCCTCGACCTCCTCGGTTTCTATAATCTAGGGCTGGTGCAATCCACATGTCCTCGAGCACATTCACCTTCATGCTAACTTGTGTTATAGGATCAAGTCGCTTCAACTGGACTTTGACGGAAGGGTTGTTGACTTTGTATATACGGATGGGATTTTTAAGAGCGACACCGGCGACTCTTGCATTGCTTACGTTAATCTAAATACAGTAACCTTTCTGCGAAGAGCATACATCTGGGGGGCCCGGGGGGCCCAGCTATCGCCATCTAACACTCCTATGATACGCCTTCGACAAAAGAAGCAGCGTCAACTTACACCTCCAGACTTGGCCGAAGATCCCTATATACTATGCATTTTGATCGCCCTAGCTCAGAAACAACTAGAGGATCGAGACCAGACAGACGAACCCTTACGGGTGTCTTTGCTTGCCCTTCCAGGAGCGCGAGCAAGCCACCTCTACTTTTACACGGCTTGCTTCCCCTTCAGCTTTCTGAACAAGTTTACCGAGCCCTCTCTATTCCTCGAATGCCCTACTGTTTCAATTTCGTATGTGAAAATCCCTTTGGACAAGCCTGAAGAGTTCCTTTATCACCTGAAAGGCGTGCTGCTTGAGACGGATGTATTGGGGACAGAGGAAGAGTCATAGCTGAAGCTTTGAAATGGACCGTCGAGGGAGCAAACGTTGCCAAAAGCAATGTGTGTTCAAATCGCTTGCTGAGCCCGAATGGTTTCAACTCGGAGAGAATGCTATCCCTGTTTGCAAGAAACGCAATGCAAGATCCATTTGTCACGACTTGGGCCGCACTCCTCGAGGCTTACAACGCTGTCTACAAAAATAAAAGAGCAGTTGGGTTTGTGGACACTTCATTTCAAACCTAAATGCCAGATGTCTCTGAATACTAATGACGGTACAGAACAGGGGTATCGTCACATGTGTTGTTTGATGGCATCTCTTTTGTTCTCCGAATGACCACTCACTGCCTTTGTTGACGACTTTGGACGTCATTGGCAAGATAGATGCGAATTTGGAGGGTAGAGTGTCTTATCGGCGGAGATATGGTTGGCCTATTGCTTGGAGACAATATTCAAATACTTGATGGTAATCTTATTTCACCAAGAACAGCGTGGGTGGTTGCGCCATCCTCATTAGCGTGTGAGTCGGCAAGTTGCAAGCTTGGATGAGCACAAGTTACTGATTCGCTTTGCTAGGTGCTGCAGAAACAACAGAAATAGCAATATTCATTTATTTCGCCTTTTTAGCCTTGTCTGTTGCTGTGATGTATTGCGTTGAAAAGCTCGACAAGTCTTTTGCGATGTGGTGCTATAAGAAGCGCCGGCACCTGATGGTCTTTGTGCACATGGACGGTCCAAAATGCATGGTTATTGTGCTAGATTCAGGACGAACAATAATGCCTTTGATGTCTGGTATCTCTTTGTATTGTAAGGCAAGATTGCCGGTGGGGAGAACAGAGGTCTGGTGATGCAAGACGGGATTCTGCAGATGATATTCAGTGCAGATTACTCGGTACACACTGCGGTTGAATTCGAGAAGTGAGAATTGACAACTGACAGCTGAGGACAGGGAATCAACTTTTGATGCCACATGAAAGGCGAAACTGGCCAGATGTCGCGCCCACGTCGTTGATTAATGCGCCTGCGGTGCAACTCTGAATCCACAGCCTCCACCCAACAGCCCACACAGCAGTGACACGACATGCTCGAGGGATACTGGCCATGCTGCATCTCTCTTGGCCGCTTGTCCAGCTCCTGTTCATGCTGATGGCCTGATGCAAGTGATAATGGTAACGACGCCGTAACTGCGCCGTAAGTACGGACGAGTCCGTAGTGTGCGTACCGAGTGCTACTCTGGGGACCCGGACAAAGCTGGCCTCCCTCGTCCAGCCCCACTGTCGCCCGTCTCGGCCAGTCTCACTCACACTCGATGTCCCTGTCATTGTCCGTCATCCATCATCCATCATCCATCATCTACCGCGGCCATCCTCTATCCTCGAATTGCTCTCGCTCAAACTCTCGCCATCGCTCTTATTTCGACCCCTGAATCCACAGACAGGATAGCACCTCACGCGGCGGGCTGCACCGCTGTCGGCTCCGCCCAGCCCCAACATGGCTGGTCTGATCGACCCGACCGTCGCGGGCAAGTATCCCGTCATTCTCGGCGATGGGCTGCTGGGAAAGACGTCCAACGAAATATTCACAGGCATTAGATGTACGCATTCTACAACAGCGACTCTCAATTGCCGCTCTGCTGCTTGCTAACACCTCAGCTCAGATAACCACAAACCTGTGCTATCCTCCGACGATGCTCCCAACAGTGCCCGCCTCAAGCCTTCGCTCCCCGGCAAAACAGACTCATACGACTTGTCGTTTACAGACGACGACGGCGCTTACTTGTACACCGGCTCGAGAAACACCAGCAGCAGTCAATATGTCCTACACTTCGATAGCGAGCGCAAGGCCTTTATCCTCGACAAGATCGACTCCACTTTCAACATGAACGTCACCCGGCTGCCGGGGAACTCAGACTCGGCCCGTCTAAGTCGGCAGTATCCTCACCTCGACAGCAAACAAGGAGCAGAAGCGCAGCCCCAGCGAGCCGCTGCGAAAAAGACCACCGCACCCAAGGACACATCTGCGACCTCGGCTGCAAAGTCACAACCCAAAGAACCCAAGCGCAAGGCGGAGAAGAAGCAGCAAGCCAAAGAAGTGGCTCTGTCTTTCCCCGAGCCACAAAGGGAGAAGCCCAAGCCCAAACCAAGCTCCTTTGACGAAGAGGAGGACGAGGACGAAGATGATGACGGGGGCTTGCTGATCGAGTACCCCGGTGCCGACACTACTGCTAGACAAACCGACTTCTCGCCAGCATTCCCACCCCCGAGGCGGTTTGACGACTTTATGGACCAGCGAGACTCCGAGGCCGATGATGCGGATGGGGAGAGTGACGACGAACCAGACATGGACTTCAAGCTACCTAGTCCTGTGAATCATCACCGGCCGGAACCGATGGATGAAGACGCCATGGAGATGGAGCATGACGAGGGCGAGGGCGACGTTGCCGACGATTTGGAGGATGTTCTAGAGAAGGAGATGGAGGAGGCGTTTGAGGATCTGGCGAATAGCCAGGAGGAAACGCCCATGGGAGGCGACGAGAGCGAGATTAGCGAAGAGGACTGATGAAATGCCAAACGGGCTTGATTTATGGCGTCTCGGGCAAAAAAGAAAAAGTGCGAATAGAAGTGTATAGATTCCGAGTTGAAATTTCCAGCGTGGAACAGCGGGCGTTGGGGGTGTGATTTAAAAAGAAAAGACCACCTAGGTATTATGCTACACTTGAACGAAGCTTGTTTGTTTTGTTTCCCAGTCTAACGCATCCCCCTCACGCGAATTGAACATGAGCCATTGTCCGTCGATAATTCTCATGGTCAGCTCATCACGCATCCAGATCACCCGGCTAGCAAGGCTCCCTCCTCCCCAGCAAGACAACCTCGCCCTCGCCTTCCTCGTCGTCGTACTTGTACCTGTCCCCGGGTAAGTGGTCCGTCACGCCGTCAATCTCGGCGCCGCAGAAGAGGTGCCGCTCCGCATACGTCAGCAAGCGGCCGTGCTCGCGCAGCGCCTCCGCGTCGAAGCACCCGACGCACATGCTGATCCTGTCCGACGCCTCGTGGCGCCAGAACAGGAGCGAGCCGCAGCGGGAGCAGAACCCGCGCGCGTTCCCAGGCGACGCGCGGTACACCGAGAGCGTCGCCGAGGACGTGTACCTCAGCGAGGAGACGGGGACCCTGTGCACCCGGAAGATGAGCGAGCCCGTCTGCTTGCGGCACTGGGAGCACTGGCACGTTGAGCACTGGGCGTGGGACCTGTTAGCTGGGCGGCGGAAGGGAGAAGGGGGGACCCTGTGTTGTTTACTTGCGCGGTGAAGTCGTGGTCTGCTGGGAATGTGATTGTGTAGCGGACGCCTTCGCAGAGACAGCCGCCGGAGATGGTGGTGGGAGCCATCATTGATGCTTGTTTGGGGTGTACCTGGTGGTTCTATTGAGGTTTGGGACAGATTGTGGTTATTTTGGCATTTTAACGCTGACGGTGATGAGGAATCACCGAGTCGGTACTAATCGCGGTGAGCTGAATGTGTCATTGACGCCTTTCGGCAACAGCTGGTGATGGGCGGCGGCATGCGTGAAACGGCAAGACCAGCCCCCGCCGCGATTTGCATAGGCTAGAGTTGGTGTGGCGTCGGGAAGGGCATCATCTGTGGGCATCATCATGATTGGTGAGGGAAACATTTTGATGCAATTTCCTGTCTCATGATGGGTATATCGCATACATGGTATTCTGTCCACGTCTAGTATGACTATATCGCCTCCCATTTTGCTATCCAGCCGACATTCTCGCCGGCGTTTCTTATTATACATAACCGTCCTTCTTTGCTGTTTGCTTTCACACCGGGAATTACTTTCTCGACGGCCACACTGCCAATGGCTGCTGCTTTGCCGTCGGCAAGACAATATGAGCCCGATGTCACGAAACCGATTAGGTCTTTGGCATCGGGAACTAGAGGATGGCCGCCGATGTCGACCTGGTTTGGTGCAGGGGGTGGATAGGCGACTGGTGGTGCTGTGAGTTCCCGAGCGAGAAGCTGCATCCGGGACTCCATGTTTGTGGCTTTGGCCGTGGTGCGAGCTCGTTTAGATGAGGAATTGCATCCCTGCGGGACCTTGGAGAGCCATTGGGCGCGTAAATCGTGCGGCAAGTTGGAGCTGTTGTCCTGTGGTATAGTGGATGGGACTTCGGCGTTTGAAGACGTCGGTGCTGGAGCTGGTTTTTGAGGAAGTCTATAAACTCTGGCGCATGTAGTAACTGTGCCGCGTGATAAGAGTGTGATGCGGACATTCATGATGGCATTGGGTGGGAGTTTAGGCAGAGAGTCTTGAGACGTGACTGCCTTGGAAAAATCTGCGCTTGAAACTAAATTCAGTAGCTTCAATGATGGAGGGTTCGGCGACGTATTGGGTGTAGAGACTGGCTGAACATCGTCCATGGCATCTTCATCGTCGGATTTGTCTGCTTGGACAAGCTCGGGTTCCGTGGTGGTCTTCGGAGGCGCAGGTAAGTCGAAAAGGAATTCATAGTCACAAGCTAGACCATCGCCAATTTCACCTTTCCTGCCGGCCCCCAGGTCCAATGTTGCCCACGAGGTTCTCTTGCTCTTGGGACGCCTGTCATATGCTCGTTGCCTCTTTTGCCGCTCTTCCAACTCCCACTGAGCGCCCGAATCAGTACCCATGAAGTCCGTTGGGAACCATGATAGCCCTCGTTCAAACGCAACTTGCATTGCCTCGTTTAACCCACCAAACCGAGGATTCATACCTGATACGAGAGGGCAGTGGACCATGCTATACCACAAGGGCAGAACACATTTCCACGGCATGAGCACCACCCACGTTCCCTGGGCCTGTGTGCTTGTAGGTGAGCGAGACGCAAGTAGAATTATGGGAATAGGAGGGTCTATTTGGCCGGGCTTTAAAAACGATCCAGGGCTTATTGCGCCCCTTCTCCTGTTGATGGTCTTTTGTGACGGCAAGCATGTGGCTTGGAAGCGACTGGTTCTGTCAAACAGTTCATAGGGCTCCAGTTGCTCTTCCGCCGGCCAATCTGCCAATATCTCTAGAAGCTTGCACTCAGCTTCGGGATCATCTGGAAATTCCATTTTTCGAGGTGGGTATCTCAGACGGGGGTCTTGTATTGAGAATCCAAGAACTGAATTTGCTGGTAATGAGGCGGGATTAGTTAGACCCTTCAGGGACCTGAAAAGACTGGCGTGCTTGTTTTTGGGCCTCTCCTCTGTTGAGTAGGGTGTCATGGTGCTCAAAAGAGCTTCTGTAGACGCAGGACCGGTGAGTTCGATGCTGCCAATTTCAAACCTCAAATCTTCGACAAAAACGCCCGATCCCTTCATCTTGGACAGACGTACTAGCTCGGCAAAGACCTCGAGGAATGCTGCCGGATTTACTCTGATGTAGAGTTGCCGCTTGGCCTGGCTCCCATTTGCTGCATTTTCTGCAGCCACGGGCTCTGGATTCCATATAATCGTAGCTGGACACATGACTCTGTTCAGACCGTCCTGTGGCCGTGAAATGCAGCCCGACCACGCCTTCAACCCCATCCTCCATTTCGTGCCTTTGTCATTCCAACACGATTCTTGCATAACCCCGACGCTCTTGAGAGTCTTCTCTATGCCATCAGGGCCTCCATACACGCCAATTGTGCTCATGTAACTCATATCCCAAACCATGGTCCCCCTCTCGCCTTGGGCACGATGAGTTGGCCGATAGATCTTCTCTGTTGGCGTCAAGGGGATAGCAAAGCGCCACAGAGGATTCTTGGGATCAGTCATATGCGCTCTTTTGGCATGCCACTTGTGAGTCGGTAACCAAGTCTTATTGATCTGCCTTTTGCGAAACCTGGCCGGCGGTGTGGGAGGGCTGTTGAGCTGGTTTCTTCGAATTTTCGGTTTAGGCTGCCGTCTAGCCAACCGTTCGGCTTCGATGGCAAGTGATTTTCCTTCACTTTGGGCAGATTTTTCTTTTTTTAGTAACCTTTTGCGCTTCCTCGCCGCCAGAACACCCTGGCGTTTTGCCGATTCCGCTCGTATTCTCGCCCTTGTTGTCTTTGGTTTTCGTTTTCTAGATTCAACCAGGGGGGTATTGTCGTCTTCCATCTCTCTTCTGGCCCTTGCTCTCAGTCTTCGCGGCACTCTTTTCGGATTATGGCTTGCTGTTCGACGTCGCAACCCTCGTGGGACTTGCTGGAATGCACGGGTTGAGCTGACAGCTTGGGAAGTGGCCATGCTCTGCTCGAGAGACCGAATCTCGAATTCACGCGCGGCAACAAAGGCCGGAAGGTCGAGTTCGCCATCTTTCAATGCTGCATCGGCTGGCTGGGCCGGGATGTGTCGCGCCGAGTGCGTTTTCGCTCTCTTTTGACGAAATGCGTCACCGCGAGCACTTGCCGAGGCATTGGCAGAGCCTGGTACAGCGTTACGCTTCCCTGTGGCAGAGCCAGATGGACCACCGGATGGCGGGTTAGGAGCCATAGTCACTGGGCTATGATGGCCAAGCCTGCCGAATGCGTGCCATGTGGTCTATCGTATGCGTGTTGATGTGATTGATACGCGACCTTGGCTCAGAAATTTGACACGGCCCACTGCTGCAGCTTTATCGATAGGCGGTGACCCACTATGACACGGGCTTGGAAAGGGACATGGAGCAATTCTTAAGGTTCATTGCGGAGTACCATCACGTAGACATGCACAATTTCAGCTTGGTTAACATTTCAATGCCACCAGAACTTCTCGTAGTGTTTAGCCACAAGGTTCCCTATTAGTAGACTATCTGGGACGCAATCAAGGCAACTGGTGTTGTCGAGCCTAGCCATTTAATAGCAATAGCTGACCCCGCGTATAGAAACAAGAATTGAACCTTCATAGACCCAAGCGTATCCGTTGAGCGGCTTTGCTTCGAAATGCGTAGTATTTGGTTAACCAACTGCTGGATGAACTGATGGCCCTTAATCCTTCAACTGGTGAGACTGGGGCCTCAAGGGTTAGGGTTAAGCTGTAGCTGTCTGGGTACCCAGTTTTCCTCCTGTCCATCCATTGATTGATTTTGTTCTTGCGCCTCGCTTCCCTCGTTGCCACAACAAGCGCTTTATCTCTTTCTCTTTCAGGTTGCTTAAATCGCCTCATCATTTCGCCAAATTGTCCCGCAAAAATCCTCCATTCTGCAGTAGCGCCGCCGCTCCGGGATCGCCGGCACGTGCCTCCGTTGCTCGAGGCTGCGAGAGCCTCACTCACTCCGGCACCCGTGCTCCGTCTCAAGCGTCTGGTCTCAAGCGTCTCAAGCGTCATCACCCACACCTACGCACCACCAAACCCCAGCAGCCCATGACCTCTATCAGTAAGCCTAAATTCCGAACGCCTCGTTCCCTCGTGCTTAAATAAGTGTCTGTGTCCGTCTTGTCTTTGTGTGTGAGTGGTGCATTCTGGCGCACGGCAGTCTAATTCTGGATTCGGTTTTAAATCCCCCTTCAAAACACCTCGAGACATTTTTCGCTCTAGTGTGCAAGCGCCAGCTCTTCTCAACTGCCTGTTCATACCGGACGCCAAGGGGCCACGACTTCTTTGGGAAACGCGCACCGTTCAAGTGAACTCGGTTGGATTAAGCACGCTCATCACCCACCACTTACCACTCACCACTCACTCCTCAATCACTTGCTTGCATCGGTTGTTTCCTCATTGCATTGATGCATTGCTGCATGGACCCTCAATTACCAAAAACACCGAATCGCTAACATGAAATTTTTGGCCACAGTGGGCAAGGCTCGCAGGGTGAGTGTCGTCTCCTTCGACATTGAGTTCTCGCAATCGAGGCCACTTTTGCTAACAATGCCTCAAGCCCAAATTCGAATTACATCTCAAGGTTGGACGGGCCCGACACTCTTTGTTGCGCACCTCTCCTAGTTGTCATGTCTAATACAATCCCTCTACAGATTTATGATTTAAACAACATCCCCCTCGTGTCTGGCAGCTCATTCATCAAATGGCATCTCTCGCACTCAATGCACGCCGAGCATCGAGGGCGCACCGGCAAATGCCCCATTTCCAACCACAAAGTTGACTACGGCTACAGCAAACTGATTCCCGGAGTCCGAATCTCCATGGAGAAGAACAACAGCCTGACCGAGTGCCCCATGGAGTTTGAGATTGTCCAAGAATTTGCCGTCGCTGAAAAGATCACCCTTGGCTACGTCAAGCTCAATCTAGCCGAGTACGTGGAAGAGAGCGAGTCATTCAGCCGTGAAGCAGGGTCGCCGCCTCGAAAACGCAGCAGCATCGGCGTCAGCCCGACTCCCGCTGATGGCGGCGCCGGGCCTGAAAATCGCATCGTCGAGGAGGGCATCGTGAGGAGGTATCTCATGTCAGACAGCAAGATCAACAGCACGCTCAAGATCGGCATCCTCATGGTACAAGTAGACGGAGAGCGCAACTTTGTCGCGCCAGCACTGAAAACCGCCCCCGTGTTTGGCGGCATCGCAGGATTAGTAGCACCCGAAGCTGAGGATGACACATCACGTACGCTTCTTCCCCCTCCTCCCCCCCTTTTCCCCCAGCCATGTCACTTGCTGCTAACGCGGCTTCAGCGATGCCCAGTATTTCAAAGCCCAGGGATGCAGCCGAGGTGCACGACCTCTACCGCCGGACCCTCGCGGCCTCCTGGTCCCGGCAGCCTAATGAGCTACCGGCCGACGAGTGCATCGAGGACATCTTCTCCGGCGGCAACGGCTGGGGCACCAAGAAGGAGGCGCACGACAATCACAACAGCGACGAGGGCGAGGCGGAGCCCTTGGCCGGCACCCTTCGGCCCAGCGACTTCCGCCGATACGCCAACCACCACAACAGCCATGACAGGAGCCACAGCCGGCATAGCCGCAACAAGAGCGCGTCTAGCGACAGGAGCGTGTCCACCGTCACCGGGGGGTCCGGCGGCAACGGCACCGGGGGCCACAGGCGCGGAGGCCGGTTCGTCAACGAGGATGGTAGGGATGCCCGCGACGACGACCTCGGCAGCAGCAGGAGTGGCAGCATGGGCAGTCTGGCGCCGACACTGGGCAGCAGTAGTGATGGCGGGAGAGGCGAGCCCGCCATGAGGAGGGCCAGGGAGGTGGACGAGTTTGAGGTGAGGGACGACTTGGTAGCTTGGAAGTTGCCCGGCAGCGTGGAAGCTTGAACTGAACCGCTGGCACTTCAGTGACACGACACGACATGTATTTTCTTTTCTCGAGGTTTGTAGCCGGCGTTTTGATAAAGTGACTCTGATACCTTGCCGCTTGGCCGGAATGGCATCTTCTCCCTTCTGCAACCCGCCCATGATTTGCTCCGTCCACCAAACACTGACACCCATCCCATCCCAACCGAATACTTTTCAAATCCAACACATTCAAGTAAACTAGTCGTATTGATCATGTATAATTACCATACACCTATTTATTTATCCCGTCTCGATATCGAGAATCACGCTGTCTAATTCCGTGGAAGCAAACCATGCCCCTTGCCACTTCCACATTTTGTCCACCAATCTATCAATAGTGTCCCCCTTTTTGGTCATGTCAAAAACAAGAAAAAGAAAAAGACAAGACAAACGACCGATCAAGCAAGCCCCATAATGAACAAAAGATAGGGTTGATCCACAAGCTCCTGTCCTCAACTCCCTTTCCGGGACAAAAATTTAAGCAGCCAAGTTACCCCTGACGCCGCCCTTTCCACCGACTTCTCTAGCAGTCACGGTGACGCCGAGATCAGCCAACACGTTGATGGTGACTTCGACTTTGCCGCCCTTCTTGACGCCCTTGATAGCAGCCTCGGCGAGCTGTTTGCCCAGCTTCCAGATCTTCTCGCGCTTCTCCTCCTCTTCTTCCTCCTCTGAATCGAAATCAGAGTCGGCGTCGGAACCCTTGTCGCCGTTGACGGGCTCCTTAGCCTTGGGCTCGGGCTTGGTGACCTTGATGTGGGTGCCGCCTTCGACGACCTTGATGAGGACGTCGCCGCCGTCCTTGGGGGCGGCAATGTGCACGGTGCGGCGGGCAGGGGCCGCAGTCTCGGCTTGCATGATGGGGGTAAACACTTCTTCGCCGTCGGGGTTGATGGTGACGACGCCGATGGCGTTGGAGATGTGCTTGACGGTGGTGACGGCGGGGTGGGTGGACTGTTCGATGTCGTTGGCTTCGTATTCCTGGATCAGTGAGGCCTGGAGGGCGGCACCGCGGGCCTGAGCCTCGGACGGGTTGATGGCGCTGACGTTGGTGGCCGGGGCGAGGATCTTGGTGCTCTCGGGGAAGATGTTGCGCAGGTTGTTGGCGATGCGGGGCGTGTGGGATGTGCCGCCGCACATGATGACCTCGTCAATGTCGAGGACGTCCAGCTCAGCCTTCTTGACGACGCCTTCGACGAGGCGGTTGAAGCCCTCAAAGACCTTGCGGCCAACCATTTCGTATCGCAGGCGGTTAATGGTGGATGAGAAGTCGAAGCCCTCTGCCAGACTCTCGATGCTGAACTGGGCATTTGTTCCCAGGGAGAGTGCCTTCTTGGTGGCCTCAGCCTCCTGTCGAAGCTTGGCCAGACTCTTGGCGTTGGATCGGGGGTCGGTGGTGTGTTTCTTGATAAACTCCTTTGCGAAGTGGTCCATGAGCACCTGGTCAAGCTGGACACCGGCAAACTCGTAGTCATGCGCAGTAGCCAGGACGGTGTACATGCCGCCTCTTGAGGCGACAACAGCAACATCTGAGCGAGTGCCGCCGAGATCAGCAACAACGACAATCTTGTCCTCGACAACAGCCTCGGGGCGAGCATCGTACGCCAGCATGGCGGCAACAGGGTCAGAAATGAGCTGCAGGACCTCGAGGTCGGCATCGTTGGCCGCCTTTATCAGGGCCTCGCGCTGCTTGTCGCTGAAGTTGGTCGGCACGGTGATGACGGCCGAGGTCACCTTCTTGCCAAGGTAGTCTGAGGCCGAGGTGACCAGGCGGCGCAGATAGCGGGTGGCAGCTTCGCTGACAGAGACGGACGAAGCTTCGCCCTCAGCGTCCTTGTCCTTGACCGAGAAGAAGACGTTGCCGGCGTTGTCCTGGGGGTGAGCAGCGGCATGGCAGTAGGTAGGGTCAATGGACTTGAAGCTATTGAAGACCCCATTGTTAGCACCGCGGCTCTTCCCGTCACGTTGCGCAGAAACACAAGGGATGCATATACGTACTCCTTGCCCAAAAACTCCCGGAAGTAAGCGATCGAATTGGAAGGATTGCGCACCAAGAACGCCTTGGCCTGGGCACCGTAGTACTCGTCACCGTCGACGTACGACAGAACAGTAGGAATTTGTCGGTCTGATGCCCAAAAGAAGGTCAGTATCACGGTGTCACATCAAACAACCACAATTCACCTGCCAACATCCGATCCAAGCCCCCCAGTCCTAAAGAGACATACCTCCGTCCTCATTGGCAATAACCTCCGCCTTGTCATCGACAGTAAACGCAATCGAACTGTTC